GGGGTTTATTTTTCAGCATGTTCTACCCTAAAGCTTTTTCAAATAATGGGGGGGTTTAAAGCTTTAATTTTGCTTCTTAGTAATTTTTCAAACATGGGGAAAGTTTTGAAAAGAAGTTTCAACACTGGAATGAAAATGAAAGGGTGCATGTGTGTCTGGTGAGGAAATCTGGACCTGACGTGTCAGTGGCAAAAGGAAAGGAGGGGGACTAGAAATGCAGTCTTCTCTCCAAAATATTTCATTAAAATGCAATTAAAAATGATTCACAGCAAATGCAGCAAATGCGAGGTGACTTGGACACTTCGTAGCAAAACAGTGCTTCTGCATTTTGCAGGCATCTCAGTAAATATTAAGCCATTTTACACCCTGGGATGCTGAGAAATGACTGTCATACACAGATTCTGTGACAGAATCAGGAATGTAAGTCAGACCACCATTTTCTCAAACATATGCCTTCTCCAGCTATATTCTCCCACATATTACTGTTCTCACTCATAAACGATGTTCATTAACTATTTTCCCAGTGACTGTAACACCCCTGGAGAGCACTTCACTGAGTTTAAATGCGTGTGTGCAGGTAATGCAGGGGCAGTAATACCTGTGGCTCCCCATCTACTTGCTCTTCAGACTGTGACTTGGTACCTGCAGTTTACTAACTGTGGGTTTCCTGAACTGCAGTTTTCCTGAATACTAAACTTTTCAGCATTGCTTGGAGGGAGGGGCAGCAAGCAGGAGAAATTCATGTGGGAGAGAGGGAGGGAAGGTGAGGGGGTGGAAAAATGAGCCTGCTTTACTGAATAATAAGAGGAGTGAAAATGAATGGGGAAAGAGAGAGAAAAGCTGGTTTAAATATTTAATCTCTGTTGCATTAGCTTTTGAAGAGGAGACAAAAGCCTTGGAACATCCTTTGTCTTGAACTAATTCTGACCAGAGCTGAACGGCATGCGATTGTCACTTCTGTCATTTGCCTTAAGGTGGAGAGAAACAGATTGGTGTTGCTGCATCAGGCCATCACATCCATCTCTGTCTCCGGCCGCGGCCAGTACCTGGAGCTGCAGCAGGTATAAATTACTCGTGACAGTGACACCTCTGCCCCATGAGCCCGTGCTGCCCAGGATCCTGGTGCCAGCGTGGTCCATGTGTGTGCCGCCTGGGACCTGGGCCTTTCTTTGGAGAGGAAGCTCCCCTGATGGGTCTGAGGAGCAGTTGCCAGCTCGTGTGTCCCACCATAGAGCAAGTCACTTCACTTTAGGTCTTCACCACTACTTAGAGCCAGGTGGTTAGTGCCACATAACACCAGTATTTTCCTCTTGTCTCTCCTCATTCCTCTGTATAATTTCTACCCAGCCTCTTCCTGCAGTATTTCTCTTCCCCTTCCCTTGGCTTGCCCTCTCAAGTCCTCTCTCGCTGCTCACCCATGGTGTAGGCAGAGCCAAAATAAGCGCAGCTGTCTTGTCCACCAGCCACAGCTGCACCACCTGCAACACCTTCCGCAGCCCCATGGATGAGCTGGCAGGACCTGCACACCAGCCTCAGAGACAACAGCTATATGTGCTGATGAGCTGCCACACCACTGAGGTCCTTTGCTTTCAGCTAGTCCCACATAAACCTTATTGTTCGGTTGATATAACTCATCTGCCGCACGTTCTGGTTCTCGTCTCTCACACTGGACAGACAGACTCGAGGACTGCACCACAAGCCATGGCCAGTGTCACCCAGCAAGGCAGGCACAGCCCTTCGCAGCGGTGGTGGTGCTCTGCAGCCACAGCCTGTTGTTCTCTGAGACAGCCTTAACCAGATAAAAACCTCTTCTAGGCTTGCTTTATAGACTGGAGGAGTAGGAGGGGAAAATGCCTCCAGAGAGTAATTAATTGTAAGCCTGGCTTTTAAATTGGTAAATATCTGTAAGCTCTGAGACAGCCTGGTGGTCTCTGACTAACCAGAGGAAACTGCTGAGACTGGGAACTTTTTCTCTTGTTTTGGCAGTGGCTTTGTCTCTCTGATCCACCTATTCCCTTTTTAACCCTAAAAGCAAAGAGGTGCTGCCATCCCCACTTCTCAGCTGGGGGCAGATATACAGAATTAATGTGACTTCTCCACCAGAGCTCCTCAGGACATCATTGGAAAAGCAGTGAATTTTGAGCTCTGGTCTCCTGAGCCCTGAGGGAAGGCATGAAAGTCCAAGCTTTTGTCAACTCCCAAACAAGGAGCACACCAAAAAAAAAAAAAGAAACAAAACCAAAACAACCCAAAAACCTACAGCAGCATCTCTCGAGCCTCTGAAGGCTCATAATTAGCAATTATCCTTCAAAGGCTTACTTCAAAAGTAGTGTATTATTTTATTACCTGTTTGCTGAGAGATCAAATAAAGCCAAGGTGCCTAGTCAAGTATGTTCCGATCTAATTTGGATATAATTTGAGGAACTTGACTGGCTAGTTTAAATGCTGGAGAAGATAGCTGAGTGGGAGTTCGGGCTTGATGAAGCCAGCTAGGCAAGAGTTTTGCATTTGGTTTACAAAAGAGCTTGAGTAGGCTGAGATTCCAGGCTGATGAGATGGTTTCCACGATGACTACATTTCTTACTCTTCTGGCAGAGAACTCATACACTCAGTGTAAGCTATAGGGATGAGAGAGGAGTTTATCCTCTGAAGCACCACAGGACTTGACTTCTTCGCTGATTTTTGCAGCAATTCCTCCCCCGTCAATGATACCAGGATGCTGGTTGCTCTGTTTGGATCTAAAGCTACACAAATAGTTGACCAGACACCAAAGATGGCAGGTTTTGGTCCAGGTTTGATCTGAACCAACGACTTAGGAATGGAAAGTATATGAGCCATAAACATACTCCTCTGCTTTTTGTCAAAGAGAGAAGACTCAGGACCTGACAAAGGAGTCCTGGTGTTGTGGTCTAAAATGAGCTGAGTTCCTGTCATGACCCATTACCACTTCACTAGCCCTTGGAAGAAGCCAATGGTGTTTCAATGGTGCCGTGCCAAGCCATGCTCTTCCTTCTCAAATATAAAGTTGTCTGCATTAGGAAGAAGCTGGGAGCTGCAGCTTCCCAAATTCAACCAATGGTGGTTTGCCTCTGTGTTAATCTTAGGGGCCCCAAATCCACCTCCTGCCTGGCCTTACTGGGAGCTGCTGCCTCTCACAGATGGTTACGGCAGGATGCAGCTCACAGCCTGTCTGGTGGCTTTCAAAGTCCATCAGCACAGGGAGACACACAGGCATGTCAGACCATGTGCCTGCAACTGGCACAGCACCTTCCTCCCCGGCTGCTGACGGCTGCTGTGAGGCACCGGGCGCAGGAGGGAAGCGTTATGCTGAGGGTGACAGCAGAAACCTCCTGGTGTTCTCAGGAGAAGGAAAACCAAAGCATCTCAGGAATTCCTCAACAGCAGCAGGAACTGTTGGGGGGGTCTGGAGATGAAACAGACAATGTAGTTGGGGGAACCTTTGTGTTTAACCAAGAGTAAATTTGCTCAAAGGAAAAGAGAGGGAATTGTGGGAGTCCTGAAACTATTTTTGGATCTGGGAGATCATGTCCCTTCTATTTCTTATTATAAAAATACCTTGAAAATCTCAACATGCTTTTCTTCCTCTCCTCCCTCCCCCCATCCCACCCCACCCCCCATCAGGAGTTTTAAGTGGGAAATGCTGAAATACTTCACTTCAAATTTTCCAAAATCCATCTTTTTGACATCTTTTAAATTGTACTTGTAGATCTCAACTATTACTTCAGCTGAAAAAAAGAGAAAAAATTAGGGTCAATAAACAGTGAAATAAACTGCAAATGTGATTTTTCACTCAGGGTTGAACAAACTCTTTGAACTCACCCTAGTTTTTCTTCGTTACTCTTCTTTTTCTGAGCCTCAGTTCCTCAAACTTCCTTATTGTTTGATTTTTTTTATAACACATTTCTAGTTTATTTCTTTCTTTATTTAGTATTAATGAAACAACAGCAGTTACACATTACTCTTCTTTCTTAATCAAACCGACCAGCAATCCTAACATAACAGCTTTGAGGTTGAGGGAATTCCATATGGAAAAGAATTACAGGAATTCTGGACAGAAAGCCCCTACTTGGGAAATGAGTCAGTCTGCTTCTGTCTGGCAGAAAAGATCAGCACGGAGGTATAGAGCCTGTAGAAACAGCTTATGAATTTACAGCTTGCAAAGTAAGTGAAGTGTCTGCGTCTCTCGTACACACACTAACTTGTTCCCCACAGATGCATACATACAGGTCTCTGGTGGAAAGAGGGGGAATGTGCAGCCTGCAATGCATGTGAACTTTCTGTTTAGAGGAGGAAAGAAAAGATTTTTCAATAGGCACAAAATCCCACCCCCTCAGCACCCCTCCTTCCCCTGTGTCTGACACTGACTTCAAGGGAGGAGTTGAGCCAATTATCTCCGAGTCCTACAGAAGGAAAATCTGCAATTTGCCAGTAGTTGTGAGAGGGAGAAAGGCAGGGAGGGAAGAAGAAAGACTTAATTGGCAAATGGAAAGAAAAGCCCCTTCTGTCCTAGAAAGATAATATTTTAAAGCAAATCTCAGGCCAGAAGAAAAGCTTGCGGTGGGGGTCGTGCCAGGCAAGACCCAGGGAAGCGTAGGGTCACCATAGGCAACTTCCATGGCCCCATTGATTTTTCCCCACGGGGTCTGAGGAGGCGTAGAGGCAGGGTGGGCCAGCCGGATGCACCCACGGCCCTGCGCGACTAGGTGTCGCTCCGGAGACCCCCTCCCCCCCGCAGAGCCTACGAAGCACAACTTGCAAGAGAAGGCAGTGGGAGTGGGAGAGAGTCTCTCCTTCTCTCGAGCTGAGGCTGGGAGGAGAAGAGCTCATCTCACCAAAGGGAAAAGCTGTCCCTGGTTCCAAGACCCCTCGTCAGCCCACATTGGTTGCCTGATCCAGTACTTACCATCCATGGGGGAATGACCTCTGGAGCCTTGTGGTCCTTCCCAATCCTGCTAAGTTCCTGGGATACACTGGTGAAGAACTGAGCCCAGAGCCAGCAACGTGGGATCCACGGAACAACAGCCTTTTACAGCAACAGCCACCTCTGATTAAAATTGTCAGCTTCATCAGACTGCACCAAGACCTAGGACTGCTCCTCCAAGGAAAGAGAGGTAAGAATGCAGCATGGAGTTTGGGAAGAAAGTAGGAGACAAACAACCCGCAGGAGTGATTGCGGCGTGTGTGAAAATTATGGGGATGTTATTAGTGATTAACAAGTGACAGGTCTGTTTTGCATGGTACGGTTTGCTTCTGCCTGTGTCCTTTTTAGCTGGAAGCACAGAATTACACTGGGGTGACAGAGACACACACAGTAGCCAAAGACTGTGGAGTGCAAGAGAGAGAGTTCAGAAGTCTGTTCATGGATAGAGAGTGGTAGGGAGCATAGTCCCCGGAGGGAGGATGGAAATCTAAGGTGTAAAGCTCTAGGCAGGTTGAATGAAGAATGTCTTCCTTAGATGTTTCTTTCCAGATGCTCAGGATCAAATCTGTCAGCACCTCACTGGAATTCAGACAAGCACTCTTCAGAGCTTGCAGAAGCAGGTGCATTGTCACTCACTCCAATGCCTTCCTATGAAACAAGCCGTAGTGGTTAGCAGGTAGAAGACAATACAGGGAGTCAAAAGAAATGGGGCTTAATGTTGACTTTGGACAGCTGTTTCAGCTCTCTCTGGGCATATGAGACTTTCCCTTTATTAAGTGGAGATAACACTCATTGCCTGCATTTCTATGACATTTGGAAATCCCTGTGCTGTACCAATATAAAATACTAATGTAAAGTTTCTAGCATCAAGCCAGTGCATAAAGCAGAAGGTACTACTGGGAATTAATCTATGCTTAAGCATTTAATAAACTGGAAGGAAAAGATGTAGATTAAAGCCAGCTGGAGGTTGTTTGTCTCCTCATTCTCTTCTGATTGATTTTGCTTTATTTAGTACACGAACATGTGGTCTCTTTCTGTTTTCCTTTCTTCTGCCTTTAATCTTTTTCAATGTATGATTCCCCGTGCTCCCCCCGCCCCTGGGTGTGAAGGCTGAAGTTTCATTCCTTTTCTGAGGAGGAGAGAAGGCAGATTGTATTGAACTGGAGAAAAACTGGAGTGGGGGGATAAGAAGAGAGAGCACAAACCACAGATATAAGCTCCTGGTTCAATGGCACGCTCTGAGTCAGATTTGCAGCAGAGGTGATGAGATGAGTAGCAACTCCATGAATCAAAGTGCTGAAAAGCATCTTTCGACTCCGTGTGAAATCAAATGCAGTCAGGAAAGCACAAGAGTCCTCTTGACCGAATGCCTTGACAGGTGGAACAAGGACAGCATAAAGTGACTATTTAATACATTAATATCTGCGTGTCCTCACACCCCTTCTCCCCCTTCTGTGCATCTCCACCCTTGGGGCAAAGTGTCCTGAAACAAGCCTGGGTCTGCTCACAGGATTTTGCCTTTGATGGGGATGGGGAGGCAGTGTGAATTAATGACCAGAGATACAAGCGTGAGGAAAGGTGGGAAGGACAAAGGGCTTGAAAGGTGGGAGTCACAGAGGCTGTCCACATTTCTCATTTGTTGGGTGGTCACTCAGCTTCCTTGTGCCTTACCCTTGCCCAGCTGTGGGAAGCGGTGGTGGCAATTCCTTCTCCAAGCCATTCAGTGTACAGTGGCATTAACTGAGATATAAAGCAGCGGAATTAATGTCTGTAATTATGTTAAAATAAATTTGTGTAATTTCAAAGTGGAGGACAGAAGTGCCTCTTGCACAAAAGGTGCAGAATTAACCCTCCGAGCAGCTGCAGTGACACGGCCCACCTCCTTTGCTATGTGATGGGAGTTTCTCTTATCACCAGCAGCTTGCTGGTCACCTGCCAGTCAGCAGTATAATTTGTAAGATTTGGGCTTGTAAAGCTGCTGGCCAGGATCAGGTCCCCCAGCGTGCATGTTCTTTGCAGGACATGTAAGACATTCACTTAAAAAGCGTGACTCTGCTCATTCCCAGACGCTGCCACACCAGGTCGTACGAAACTGGCCTTGCGCAGGCGTGAACCAACACGGTCCACTTGCCCTCATGCAGCTACAGTGGTGCATCCATCTGAGGAGCTGACTCATTTCTAAATACTGATCCTGGGCTGTAGAGAAGTTTGTAGTTTTCTTACAAAATCTAGCTCCCTGCTTTTCTCTGCCTGCTAAATAAAGCCTGAGAGAGTGAAAGGAAGCATCCCAAAGCAGCTCTGTCACCATCTGTCTACCCATGGATGCAGGACAGTATTGGACTGGCTATGTTGGAAAGGGCAGAGACAGTGTATGTGGCAGTGTTTCTTCAGGGCTTGAATATGGTGTTTCTGCATCGTTCGGAGATAGGCCCTGTTCTAAATAAAACAGAGAGTCCTGTTCAAATACCAGGTGTGCTCCTTGATGTCATTCCCGCCACAGCAATCCCGACAGTACCATAACTCTTCATGTGTGTGTCCATTCAGAGTTATGTTCTGACATTACTGTCTGGCTCTAATATTACACTGTCTTGCCCGCTGAATATAATTCAGAGCGTAGGCTACACTGACGAAAGCATTGCATTTTCTTCTGTGCTTTAGACAGGGCTGAACGTGCTGTTGGCATGCAGCAAATTATAGCAATAATAATAAATAGTAGTGTTTTGCTGTTGCCTTGGGGTGTAGTAAATGCTTGTAATGATGCTGGATCAGAATTCCAGAGACTTCTTTATTTAGCAGTGACTGCTTTGGTGCTTAGCACATGTTAAACAAAGTAAAAGATTTTAAGCTTTTGACTGAGATAAGTGTCAGCTACATAAAGGCCTGGGAGATAAAATTCACTTGAGGGAAAGATAGGAATCCAGATCTGGACCCAGAAATGATCTTTCAGTGTACATAAAGTGCTTGCATTGTAATATTAAATAAACAACACCTAAGTTAAATAAACGGTACAGTGGGAACTTGATTATTCTTTAATAAGATCCTAGTAACCAAAATAAACTCTGTCAAAAACGTGCATTCTTTCCTCTAACGGTTAGCTTTCCCCACACAGGGGTTATATTTTTCCTTTCAGCACACAATTCATTTGAACTGGTACATGAAAAATGTCTGAGCAACACTCTTTTTTTTTTTCCCCCTATCAAAGTTTTCGGCATCTGAGTGCTATGTCAAAATGCGATTTCCAAGGTCTCGAGGCTCATTTTAGTTGTCAGGGGTTGGAAATCTTGTCTAATAGATATTTAAGATGGCTGTCCATCTTTTCTGCTGCTTCTACTTAACACCCACGAAGACTGTGACACCCACAACAGCTGTGTATGTATAAAGACTGAAACTCCTCTGAAATCCATGTTTCTCCAGTTCCATCCACTGCCAGCCATCCTGCTGCAATGCTGATGGTTTGTTGGTAAGGAGTTCCTCAACTACCAGTCCAAACAGCAAGAATAAAACCTTGCTTCTAAAAGGCACAGATCTTAGAATTTATCATCGGCCAATGCTATCTTGTGGATCAAACTCCCTCCATCAACAATGAAGGTTGTATGGGACCTGCTATTTAAAGTTACCAAGATGTCTAGTTTCCACTGATGTCAAGCATGATTCTTGTTTCTGTCTGACTTCTGGTTGATCTCAAAATTAGCATTGTGTGCAGCTCCTATTTGGGTAACCAAACGAAGCGGTCTAGGTCCTAATGTCAGTTGCAATGGATGCAGTATACTGGGAAATCTGACCGCTGTGTTTATGTATCTAAATGAGAACCAAGCTCTACTGAAAAATCTGGTAATGTCTAAGTGACGCAGATGGTGGGAAGGAACCTGGTGTCTAAGTTGAAGCACAGCTGATAAAATTAGCCCTTAATGTTTAAATGAAATAGTAAATTGCAATTCAAACTCATGCTATTTTCAGCATAAATGCCTTCATTTTTATATGACTCTAAAAGGAAAAAAAAAAAAGGCAACCCAAAAACCCCACTCCCTGGAAATGACACTGAAAAAAATCAAGCATTTCTAGTGAAAAGATTTCTGCATGAACTATTGATTTGCTAACGAGGACTGCTCCACAGAACTCTGACAAGCTTGTGGTAAGGAGCTGCCCTACTCCATCCTCCCTTTAGTTTCTGATCTTTCCTTCAACTCTGCCATTTCCTCTTCCAGGACCAAGCAATGATGAAGACTATGTCCGGTGGAAACTGCACCCTGAATGTGCCAGCCAAGAACTCTTACCGCATGGTAGTGCTGGGAGCCTCCAGGGTGGGGAAAAGCTCCATTGTCTCACGCTTTCTCAACGGCCGCTTTGAGGACCAGTACACTCCCACCATCGAGGATTTTCATCGCAAGGTCTACAACATCCGGGGAGACATGTATCAGCTGGACATCCTGGACACCTCCGGGAATCACCCCTTCCCCGCTATGAGGAGGCTTTCCATTCTGACAGGTGAGATATGGGGGAAAGTTTGCAGATGGGGAATGGTAGGTGAAATGCCATGATGATAGACATTAGCTTGAAAACTGTAGCCTGAAGATGACTGGAAAGTAGCTAAAAGGACTGCTTGATTTTGTTACAAGATGCATTTTCTCTAGAGAGGGTTTTCCTACAGGGAGTGCATTAGCCACAGAGGAGAAATCCACTGGGTGAAAGTCTGAAATGGAGATTTTCCCCTAGTTTATTTCCCTCCTACCTTCCCCTCCTGCTCCGTATTTTTTATTGCAGGCACAAATGAATGGCTGAATAAAATCTTGTGGGCATAAAGAGCGGCAAGGGACAAAATAAGCATGTCATTATGAGACACAAGCAGTGAAAAACAGATGTAAAATGCACAGGAAGGGAATTCAAACCAGGAAAATGTCAAAGGGTTTTTTTTTTCCTAAAATTTCCAGCCTGATTCCCTTGATTTGATATTCCAGTAAAAGGATATCTCTAGTTTTACCCTTTCTCTTTGGTCCATGGTTAATCAAATGAATTAAGGAGGGAAAAGAGAAAATGGTGGGTTCATTTTGTACATCTTCATTGTCAAGCAGTTCCTATTGAGAGCTAAGATGTGTTCTCTAACTGTGAAAGTGACAGTGGACATGTATTGAGCCACAGCTCACAAGAAACCTACTTTCTGGATTAGTTATCTACCCCCCTAGCTAGCCAGTGAAACATGATGTTCACATCCGACCAGGCTAGCGTCAACATCCAGTGAAGTCCTAGAGCCAGTTTCTGGGATGCGGTTGTGAGCTTTTGTCCCTGAAAGCTCTCTTAGCATGTTCCACATGAATGTCATTCAACAGGCAATAATTTGCGTTATTTTATATTTGCAAAAGGAATTGTAAGTCAGGAAATGTCAAAAGGAAATGCCAGGGGATCTGTGTCATTTATGTATTTCTTTTTTTCCATGGTCTGTTTCTCTTGAGCAAATGAAATGGCAGCAGAGCACTGCACATTGGGAAACCTCTCATTCCTGACTTAGACGTTCGGGACTGACTAGCTGTAAATCTGCAGTTCAGGTGTTGCTTCTTGTATTGTATAATCAAAAGGCCAAGGCTGAGCAGCTACCAGCTCTCCATTCTTCCTGGTGTTAGAACAGGCTCTGTTTTACACAGAGACACAAACAAAGGGAAGAAAAAAGATAAGCAGCGCAGCAGAGCTGAGATAGAAACATGCACAAAAGAGAGGGAATGATTTGCAAGTCCAGTGCAACCTAGGAACACACAATCAGACATGGCTGAAATAACAGACAAAAGTCTGTCCCATAACGCTACAGAAAGGAGTGGGGAGTAGAATTAGAAAAATGGGAATTGAAGTACAGCTGAATGAACAGATTCAAAAGTACCAAACAAAAAGTATGGGGAAGAGATGGCAAAACTAGCTCCTCTGACACAAGTTGCAACAAACAAGCCTTTACAAGTATCCTTTTTTAATTGCAGGGGATGTTTTCATCCTGGTATTCAGCTTGGACAACCGAGAATCATTTGATGAGGTGAAGAGGCTCCAGAAACAGATCCTTGAGGTCAAATCCTGCCTGAAGAACAAGACCAAGGAATCAGCTGACCTCCCCATGGTGATCTGCGGCAACAAGAATGACCACAGTGAAATCTTCCGCAAGGTACGCTCAGATGAAGGTGAGAACCTTGTCTCCAGTGACGAAAACTGCGCTTACTTTGAAGTTTCAGCCAAGAAGAACACCAATGTGGATGAGATGTTCTATGTCCTCTTCAGCATGGCCAAGCTACCTCATGAGATGAGCCCTGCCCTCCACAGGAAAATCTCCATCCAGTATGGTGACACCTTTCAACAGAAATCCTTCCGGATGCGCCGAGTCAAGGACATGGATGCCTACGGCATGATCTCGCCCTTTGCTCGCCGACCAAGCGTCAACAGTGACCTGAAGTATATCAAATCGAAAGTTCTCAGGGAAGGTCAGTCAAGGGAGAGGGAGAAATGCACGATCCAGTGAAGGGGGCTTGCACTTCTGTCTGAAGTCAGCATCCACATGCAGTGCCTTAACGAAAAGTGGTCTGTGGAAGCACAGAATGCTCTCATGGAGTTCATCGAGAAAACCCGCCACAGAGAAAGGATAACTCTTCCTGCAGATTCTACTGAGTCACGAATGTAAATAACATCGTCCTTGTAAATGACTGAGAGAATCATATGCCTGAGATATGAGTGTATTTCTCTGTCTTTGTAATGCAGTTCCCCTTCATTCCCCTCTCCTTGTTTAAAGAATGCAGACCTGAGAAGTAAAGAAATTTCAACCTCATCCTTACAAAGAAAGTAGGTGAAAAATGCACAGAAGGCATTGTCACTTACCCAGCGTGCAGCTCTTGCTAAGAGAGAGGAGGCCACGTGTACGCGTGTGTGTATCTCTGTATGTCGGTGTGTATGTGTGCATGCATGTGTGGAGCACTCCTTTCAAAAGCGGGACTTGTATCTCAAAGGGAAACAGTCTTAGTGAGGTTTTCCAGATTGGGAGTGGACTCTCTATATATGGACACATGACTCTAACTTGCTTCTGAAGGGATCTGTATTAAGAAGATCTTGATTTTTTGTTTGCTGGGACAGTTACCGTTTGACATCAACATGAATGTTGTTTTGTATTATAGATTTTATTTGGGATTTGGGTTTTTTTTAATGTCTTGGAGTAGGTTCTTAGCAAAATCAGATGGCAAGTGCAGTTGATATCAAAACAGTGTCTACTTTCTAGCAGTGAAAGGTGTTTTCAACTGTAAAACTATGTAACGTACATTGATTGAAAGTGAAATTGTTCTGCAAAAAGCCAATACATCCGACTGCTTCGCAAGCCTGGTGTGATATTGTTTCTCAGAGCAGCCACACCAGCTCTGAATACTGTAGTACAAATGTCACCCTTTGCCTTGCTGGCCACTGAAGCAATGGTTCCTTCCTCTGCTTATATCAGCTGAGACCAAGCAGATTTCATGTGTTGGCTTAGACCACTTCAGAGTCAGGACTCAGTTTTCCTTCAAATTTAAGAACAGTTGTAGGGCCAGCTCCATCATATTTCTTTTGTTAACATGCTCCTCGTCATTTTGCCCGTCATGTTCCCTGTTGTCTATAAAGGTTTCCTTGATGGAAACCTTTGCCCTGCAGAAGTCCTCCAGAACAGCAGCATTGTGCTGGCTGTCCAAACAGCACTGAACTGTTATAGTTGTTATAGGCCAAATAAATCTGGGGTCGTCCAGTCACTTCTTCCTTTTCTCAGCCCATTCCAGGCTTCATTGTCTTCAGCTCTCTCCCTGTTCTGCTTCCAGCTTTGTTGTTCGATGTGCTCCTGTGTGCCCTCAAAGACAAATATATTTTCTCAGATGTGAGCTTGCCACTCTCATTGCTGACTGGAATGAGATGTGTGCACACATAACTGTGGGCAAAGCATGGCCCCAAGACCGTACACAACAGTAGAGTATACGTTATATATACCTCAGAATGACCTTCAGACAACCTGTCCCTCCCTCACCGTCAAATTCTGGCCTTGGCTGTATCTGCCTTGCTGTGATCCTGGAGCTGTGAGCTAGTTCATGCTATAATTTGACAGGAAACCAAGAATGATGGTTGTCTGTAAAAATTAGCCTCTGGGACTCAAAATCCTATTTTCATTTATCAGCTCCACCCTCCACTGGTACTGTATATTGACTGGTAAGATACACTGTTCTTTTATTCCTGTTGCCAGGGCAGCACCTTTCAGACCATGCCCCCTCCCTATCTATAAATATGTACATGGTTTATGATTAAACCTGTTTTATTTATTAGCTGTGTCCTGGTCCTTTTTTACTTTCTCCAAGGATAAGGAGGAAGGTCTTATTTTTCTGTTGTGCAGTTGCAGCTGGGCAAGTGAGTTGTGGGTTGAGACCCCTGATGACACCTCCAGTAAGTTCTGGAAGAGCCTTTTATGTCCTCCAGACACCAGGGGCTACACATTTGTCTGTTGTAACAGAACTGTGTCTATACCTAGATATTTCTATCTATCCATCTGAACATTGACTTACACATACAGATATCTTCCCAAGCAGAAGCAGACAGTTACTCTTCCCCATGCTGCTTCCAACAGGAGAAAATAACCACTCTCTCCTTCATGCACAGAACTGGTGTGCTCATCTGTGGTGTGATTTAATGTGGTCTCTGCAGAGCCATCACTGTTGCTCCCGGCAGTCTCTCCGTCTCACCATCTGTACCTCTCCACTGTGTGAGTCTGGGTCCCTCTGAGCACATGCCTACCTCCCTACAGACTCTTTACCCAAGTGCGTGGCTACCGAACGTACCAGTGAGCGAGCTCTGGGACTCCTGTGCCGCAGAGACACGGAGGGGTTAGGGTTAGATCCATCCCTGCAGAGTGAAAAGGGGATGGATCAAGGGGCTCCAGGAAGCTAGAGGAGAACTCCTTACACTATAGCCCATGTGCTGCATTACTGGGCCTACATCCACTCTCCCTTGCCTGCTGGGTGAAGCTGAATTTTTAAAAAGCCTCCATAATCATCAAGTCTGCTTTTGTCTTACAACACTGACCTTATAATAATATTCCCTACCGCCCTTCCATCTCCACTAAGGCACCAGCTTTCCTCACCCTTCCACATCCTCCCATTCCTGCCTTTTCCACCATGGATATGAAGCCACAGGGCATGGAAAAGCAATGTTGCAGTGACAGCAAGGGCACGAGAGTAGGGGATGCTGAAGACTAAGGAGCAGGTGCTCACAGAGACATTCTGGATCCCACAGGAAGACCAGTGAGCCCCAGCTTCACAGCCCAGCTTGGCCTGACAATCTTCAGGGTGAGAAACATTCGAGAAATGGGCTTGGAGTGAAGGTGAAGCAGCATTACAGTCATCCACAGAAACACATGTCAATAAGCAGGTAATCCTATTAAAGTAATCCTAGTCTTCCCTCTGCATTTTGTTACTGATGGTAATTGCTTTGAAGTTAGATTATCATGCTCCCGAGGACATTTATTTTTTTATTTTTAGTATATTGTTACAGTCATTCTATTAATATTCATACATTATTTGGGATCTACAAGTGCTTACAGCCCCTAAAACAGACAACATGTATCTCAGTTGTTTATTCACAGTTAGCAGCCAGTATGTTCTGTAAAAAGGGCTGGGACTGGAAAACAGAGAGCAAGGCTGGCTGTGTGCACAGGGGGCATAAGGCAAGGAAGGAAGAAGAAAAGGGAATTGTTTCTTCCCTGGCGACCGCTGAGCATGTCCGGTTGTTAAGGCAGAGCAGGGAAGGGCTGCATGGGAAACTCTTTTACGTGGGTACAGAAACAGCGAGACCTTGAAAGGAGCCAAGAGCAGACCTACAGCCATCCTTGGAGGCAATGGAAAGAGAAGCAAGTTTTTTCCCCTCTTTGTAATTCAGGGGACCTGCACAAAACTTACTGTAACCCAAGAAGTCATGACAATGCACTGGGCTAAGGGCAAGCCTGGAGAAAGTCCAGCAAAGATGCTGCCAGCAGGTGTATGCTTACTTGGCCTTACCTAGCATAATTAAGTTTTATTCCATTAACCACCTTGTCCTACACTGCAGTACATAAAACCTAGCATTAGTGATACAAAGCCTTGCTGATGGTATTTTTGTGTGTGTACTTACTTCCAGGACAGCGAGCAGGGACATATACCTGACTTAGGATCAATCACAGCCCTGGAACAAGACAGGGCTGAGATTTATTTTGTACATTGCTCTACACAGCAAGAAAGTCCTTGTCCTGAAGAAATTACAAGTCAACACATTATAGGAGCTACTATAAATAATGACAAAAATCTAATTAAGCCACAGGGTCAGTACAAATCAGGAAGGAAATAGTGGTCATGGTCAATTAAGTAAAAAATAAATTGAGGGTGGGAAGGGCTGAGCAAAAGCCTGTTTTGACATCCAGAGGACTAAATTAGGCTTCTGTTCTGCAGGATCCCCAGGAGGACTGCTGCCACCAGGCCAGTCTGATGCTAGAGAGGCTTCCATGGTGTGGTCTCACAAAGAGTATTGTCTCCTTGAGACCCCAGGGTGCAATAGGTCTGATTGTCTGGGAGGCTGAAGGGCTTGTTATTATCACAGAGGCAAGTAGGAAATCGTGAGCTAATTTTTAAAAGGGCAGCAGGAAAGAAAAGAGCTTCAGAAGGGGGCTTACAAAGGTAGGATGGCAACAGGAGGTTGGATGGGTAAAGAAAAGGTAGGCTAGAGCATTATGCTGCAAAATGTACCTCTCACCCTTATTTCATCCTTCTCTACAGACAAGTCAAAGACGAAGACATTTTATTTAGCTTTTTCATCCTTCCTCAAATATTACTGCCCCTTACCGCTATGTAGGACCCACCCCCCACTTCTCATCACACCTTTTGATGCTGTAGATTTATCCTCTTGTCATGTACCATATTGTGGGCTGCCTTGCCAGCCCTGTCGTGGTGTCTTGGCTAGGGTAGAAGGTTACAGGCAGAGGTGCTTTTGAAGGAAGTGGTGATTATTTTATTTGATTTGAAACCACTATTACATTTAGGCATTTTATTAGCATTATTGCTCTGTAAAAATACATGGTGGCAGTTTCAGATTAAAGGGTCTCCTTGGAAAAATACATAAAACGTGATATAATGTACATTTTCCCCACTGGTTTCTATAGCAACAGCCTTTTCTCTGCACTCAGAAAGAGCAGAGAATTTGCAGGGGGGACACAAGTAGCAGTGGCTCTGCCCTAGATCTTTCACCTCTTGAGTCCTCATGGGAAGTTCTCCTCCCTTCAGTTTCTGCTGTGTGGAGAAACAAAGACCAGCAGCCAGACCCACCTCGTAGACCACTCAATATGTCTGGTAAAGCTGTGGGATGGATATGCTCACATCAATAAGAAAGTAATTTCCATGATTATAAACTGGGGCATTGCTCCTGGCACTGTAACTGATGTGGGGAATGCACATCACAAATGGCCATAAACCCAACTTCTGTACTCAGGTTTGGTTAGAGCTAGCTGTGAGCCTTGCCCAGCCTCTCTCTTCCCTGAAGAGACCGCCATCTGGTACCGTCACAGCCTGAGACTTCCCAGAGAAACATTTCCTTTCTCATGACAACATCAGCCAAAAACCTTTCCTTGCCCCTACTATCATTGGCCATCCATAGAATGCAGAACTGTTCTGAGTGCCAAGTATCACGTTCCTAGAAAGTTACTTAATTTGGATGGAGGCCAAGGACTAGCAAGGCATTTTATGAGACTAGAGGGATTGGCTTGAGTAAGCCTTAAAAAAAGTCTGAAAGGGATAATTCTGTGCCATGTAGGTAAACAAAGTCTGAGAGAGGCTGGCTGAAAACCCCTCGATGA